GGCGCTAAGTATAGCTCTCTCCTGACGGAGTTTCAGACACGAGATCGTTTGAACGGGGAGCCTGCGTTAGCTAGCTGCTGAAACAACCCACGACCAAGTGTCCAAATGGCATATACCCGCTTGACCAATCAGGTATCAAGATTCGTTGCGGCTCTTGACAGCGAAAACTGTTCCTAATTATTCTTATACAAATATACGCGACGTGTATCGTGCTCGACTTCGAAGACTGTTCTGATTCTATTTCCGGATAACATAATATTAGTACGCTCGATCTGTATTGATTGATTTGTTTAACTAATAGTTTTTAATAATTAATAATGTCTGAATTGTAAAATGTATTGCTATCCTTCTCTAGGATTACGCGAGAATACTAGGAAATTCGGGGCGAACATCGCGGCACGTAGGCACATCGCATTACGGAATTTTCCATATAGAATTATACATTTATTCGAATGACTATAAAATAATACATTAATTTTGTTTTTAATTGTTCTAACTTAACTTGATTGTCTTTGTAAATTACATTATCCTTTCTAAATTGAAAATATAAAATAATTATTGAAAATAAAATAAATATATATGTATTGGTTACCGACCGCTGAACTGAATACATAAGGTAATTGGTATATAATGTACTGTCCGTAATAGTCTATTATCGTCGGTAACTAAACTATTTCTATCAGCGGGTAATGAAATTGAACATAGGACTGCCACTTTAAAAAAAACTCTTCCCGGGATGTTACATTTGGCTCGCGTCGACCGCTGAACGTAGGAAAGGTCAGAAAGCGAACGAGAGAGGCTATTTAAAAGTTAAGAATCGACATCTCGACTCCATAACTGCAACGCTTGGGTCCCGATTTTGTTGCAGTTATCCAGTCTTAGTGTACATTCAGGTGCGATTTTGTATGGAACCAAAAGATCGTTACTCATCGGTTTTTTCGAAATATTTCATTTTAACGTTACTTCGGAAAACGACATGCCATAAACTTGATTGATCTGCTGTTTGCTCTCGATCGTAAAAACAAAGAAGCTCAGCGAAAGTTTTGAGAAATACACTGATTAGTTGTCACTTGATTTTGTAATTTCCAATCAGCGCGCCCTTTGACTTTCTCTCACCCTTTCATTGCGCCTTTAGTGCGTTTCATTTTAGGAAAGAGTAAAATGGTACCAGGGCGTAAGTGAGAAATCTGTTTTTCCTCTGAGTCTCAAGAACCGATGGCTACAAAGTACCGTGACGAATGTACCCTTGAAATTACTCTTCGAAAATACCAAATTTATGACCGGAAACGGCTATGCAGGACGAAACGAAAACTAAAATTTTAATTCTATTGTACGAAAAAAGGTAAATGAATTCCGTTATGTCAGAAAATCCCAAAAACACCCTATAATAGGCTGTACCGGACGAGTTGCACATGGCCACGATGCAGCGACCTCGGCGACCACGAGGCCCGACCCTGCGACGCGAAGGCCATAAACCACCCCCAAGGCCCTTGAGTTTCTAGAAGGAACAAGGAAATAGCTGTTTCGGCTATGGAATATGTAGTCTTTCTCAAAAATAGCTTTTTGTTGCGAACCTATCATAAACTTTCCAAACGAAATCCTCACGTACCGTGTTATACCGGTTGGAACACCTACCAAATCTCTTAACTGATCTGTGACTCTAAACAGTTTATGAAGTCATCAGTCATCGATTACCTTCTATAAATATTTTTGACAACAACCCTTATTTTTTGTATCAATCAGTTTCGGAGTCAATCAATTGAGGCTAAGTCAGAGTGCGTGTCGCGATTCACAACAAAGCGTTCTATTAATTTAATTTGTGTGATTATTTTATTTTTCCTTCTTATAATTTATAGTTTCATCTTTTACATTGACTTGCTTATATATGTCATTATTTCTTTCGTTGTAGCATAGAATAGTGTTCCGTCGCATATGAAACATAGAACGAAGATTTCTACAGGATATTTGCGACAGTTCTTCTACAAAAAGATATTTTTGAGCTAGTCGTTTTAGCATTACCAGCAATAATTCGTTTACCTTTTTTCGTAGAACAGAGTTTAGAATCATTTCGTCCTTAATAGTTCCGTTCATGTCACAAACTCCGCTTTTGCCGAATGGTAATTTAGCGATAAGTAAACCCTAACAGGACTTTGACCTTCGAAGACCTATCTGGACGGAAAATCCCAGACGTTTTGTGATTTTAGGGATCCTCATGTACGCATCGGTATCATCCCACCCTTTCCATGTGAAGACGCACTAAGGGCACAAGAGAGGGTGGGTACTACTATTCAAGGGGCCTGCTGATTGGGAAATGAACGTTTTGGAAGAGACCAATCAGGATGTTTCCTTGTATTTCCAAGTTTTCGTAAAAGTCTGGACGACAAGGACTCGACAGTCTTCATTGATCATCCTTTCGTGCGCGACAAGTATTTTTATATATATTTTTGTTCAAAATGTTGTTTAAAGTGTTCAGTATGGCAAGCAAGAAGAACACAACGACACTGACCATGGAAGACCGTTTGAAAGTGTTGAATGAATTAAAAACATTTAGTGTTTCTAGTGTTGCTAGAAAATTCAACGTCCATAAATCAACAATTTGTAGGATCAAAAATAATGCTCCGAAAATTATGCAATTTTTCGACAAAAGCAAGGTGCAACGGAAACGCCGAAGGATACGTGCATCTGCACACAGTACATTAGAGCAGAATTTGCTGACATGGTTTACAGAGAGGAGAACCCTTGACGACTTTATATCGAATGCTGCGCTTTTGGAGAAAGCAGTTGAATTAAAGAACAACTTGGGATTACCATCGACATTTAAAGTCAGCAAAGGATGGTTAACAGGTTTTAAAAAACGACACAACATACGCCTAGTTCGGGTGTATGTAGAAAGCGCGAGTGCTGATGAAGATGCGGCAACAAAATTCACAGAAGAGTTCACAAAATTGTTAGAAGAAAATAATATAAACACGGAAAATATTTATAACATGGACGAGACTGGACTTCTGTGGAAAGCCTTATCGTCGAAAACATTAGCGGACAGAAAAGAAAAGAACATAAAAGGTTTCAAAAGCCGTAAAGAGCGCATTACGGTAGGTTTATGTGCAAATGCATCGGGAACGCACAAGTTAATGCCGCTTATTATTAATAAATACGAAAATCCTAGAGCATTGAAACATTCTAAAAACAGTCTGCCCGTGGTTTTCAAATCACAGAGAAATGCTTGGATGACCCAAACATTGTTTATAGATTGGTATCAGAATCATTTCAAGCCAAGTGTACGAACATACCAATTGAGAAATTCGTTGATTGGCAAAGTCATTTTGTTAGTTGATAAATGCAAAGGGCATACAGTAGTATCCGAATTATTAGATGATGGACATTTTCAAATGATATACCTCCCACCAAATACAACCAGTCTAATACAACCAATGGATCAGGGGATAATAGCCAAATTAAAAACTGTGTATCGTCAGAAATTCCTTCGACAAGCGACACAATATGTAGGCGGAATAAATGTTTTTCAGAAACAGTACACACTACAACACTGCATAGAAACGTTGCACGAGTCTTGGATGGAAGTATCACCAGAAAATATTTTCAATGCATGGAAGAAAATCATTCGAAGTGAAATGGATTTATACCATTCTTCCATGCAGAAAGACTTAAGCACCATAACGGGAGAAACGTTCACGGAATACGACATTGCACATTTTATGGCGAACTGCGAAGAAGAAGAATTAAGAAGATCCAAAGATGAAAGTAACGAAGATGAAAGCACAGGCGAAGATGAAGATGCGGAAAATACAGAACAACAAGTCAATAAAATGGATGAGTTAAAATATTTATTTCAACGGCTGCAGGACCATGTATCTGACGAACCACCTTTCGTAAAAAATATATTTCAGGTGTTCAAGAAGCATTTTTCAGATAATTTTAATATTAATTATAAATAAAATTATATCATTTTATAGAAATTATAAATATAATTTTCATTTTAATAATTAATTCCTCTTTTTTAGGCCCTATTACATAAAAGGAAGAAGATCAATTACTGACCTCCACTTACAAGGGACATCACCAAGGTGTCACACGCGGATTTTAATAAAATTTACATATGTGGTAGCTTTTCAAAAATCATTTGACACGTATTTTTTTATATCTGCGGACATGCATGTTGAGGGGGTGAAAATAGCCCTCAAAGTTGGGGGTTGAAAACACATTTTCTTTAATATCTCGGAAAGTAGAGGGTGTAGGAAGGTGAATTTTTTTTTAAATTGTGTAGTTTTTAGTCAGGAATTTAGTTAGTGACAAGAATTTCGGGAGAAATTATTTATTTAAATAATATATTAAAAAATTGCACTTTTTTTTCAATTTTTCACCCTAAATGCAGTTCGATTTTTTTGCAGATTTGTATACGAAAAATATGGATCAAAATAGGGGATACGTGTTTTTAGAATTTTTTGTTTATTGCAACTTAGCAATAATTATTACATATACAATTTTCTCCTACTTTTTACGGAGAAATAATTTGAGATTTGTTTTCGAAGAGGGTCAGACCTTTTTATGCGATAATCTGTTACGTTTTTAACAATTAGACAATATCAGATGTTTATTGTGCCATCGGTAGCCAGGGAAGGTCTAACGGGCAGGTATAAATCCGCCGCGGTACCAGTCGTCGCTTTACGGAACATAGATTTCTATGGCCAATGAAACTCTTTACGAAACTTATTCCAAAATATACTGTTGCAGGAAAGTGGGTATGAATAAGTATATGGTAATTGTATTATTGTTTCCTTTTTTGAACTATTGTAAAATTTATTTTTTATAAGTATGGGTGTTAATCCCATTAATATTATAAACATTTTAATGAAAATATTTAACTCTAATAAGCAGGAAGCACATAAATCGAAACAAAGTTAAACTGGCACAAAGCATAACAGATGCAATCGACATGTATAAAAAATGCGCATTGTATATATATTAACATTAATAAAATAATATACTCTAAATCAAGAGATTATCTTGATAAGATAAAAATGTAATTTTTTACTATTATTAATGCATAACAATGACAAAAAAAATATACATTAAAAAAAAACTTAAAAAAAAAATTAAAAATTTTATGAGGAAAAATCGTATTAATATTATTACGATTTATTTTAATTATTATTATATTTATTAATATTTTTAATGCCTCAAAATTCAAAATTTTGTGTGCTTCTACACTAAAACATAATTGATATATTTATATTTTTTTTATTGTAATTTGAATTTGTATTTACAATAAAATATAATTAAAATGATAAAAAACATGTATAGGTGGCGAGAACCGCGAGTCGCGGTTTCTCGCGGCATAACCGGTTACCAATCGCGTATATAAGTCGGCGCGAGATACCGAACTACCGGAGAGCGTCCGGTACCGTCTTAGCGAGCGCACCGATCCGAGCGAGCAAACCGACGCCGAACATAGCTCTCCGACGATTTTTGGTTGTAACCCTGATTCCTCCGACAGGGGGTGGACGTACGGAGTGTGTTATCCGCAGCCTACAGTCCGCCGGTATCCCCTGTATCTCCCGGTCCTGTCGTCGTGGCAACGCTACGAAACGGGGACGTCCCGACCGCCAAGAAGACACCCGTGCGTTATCGGCAGAGTGTCCTTGGGCTCACGGTCTCCTGCCAGGGGAGGACGGCGTGTGGTATCGGCAGCCGTTCCGACCTATAACCGGCAACGTGTGGAACTCCGCTCCTACTCTTCCTACCCTACCCAGCGACAGTTGTATAGCGGAAACCGACCCGGACCTAGCGACTGTGCGATTCCCGGCGACCGCGGGCTCACCGCGAGCCCACCGGTGTTATAAGAGTAATAAGTACAATAATTATCGTTCTATC